GCTTCACTGAGTTACGCAAGCCCCTTCGCCACGACAAGGCAGTGATCCATGAAGGGGACCTACCGATCTACCTACTGTTAAAAAAAATGTGAAAATACAGAAGATATCCCTTTGTGCAGTGCCAAGTGCCAGGATGTTGATAGCTCCTAAAGCAGTCATTTAAAGCACAAAGTGCTTTGTGAGTTCAATTCCTAGTAGAGGTTCTGAACTTCATAGAATAGCATCTGGCTACCTGTCTTTGAGGAGTCCCAATAATGACAAAGCTGGCAATGTGGTCCCTCCTGGTGGTCAATGTAGCAAAAGCTTGGAACAAAAAGTTCTGTATTTTGTTTAGCTTGACTGCAAGTTAGGTTTTATTTTAATGGATCCAATACGTAAGGACTCATTTCTATTGTTACAGGGGAGAAAAGGAACCCGTGGCCCACGTGGTTTTCCTGGAGATCAAGGATTTAAGGGCCCACAGGTGAACTTTTAAATTGCTTACTTTTTTCTTTGTAAACAAGAATTCAAAGTGCAAAAGTAAAGTGAACCTACCTTGAAAAAGAGCCTCTCCTGAAAAACCATGCTTCACAAACAAAAGATATCAACATTATGTTGTGTATGTATATTTTCAATAGCTTTATACACGTTTGCCACAAATTTTTAGTCTGCATAGTGGAGAGATCATATGAAAATTCAATTATGGGTAGCCCTCACTTAATTACCACAATTGGAACCAGAATCTCGATTGTTGAGCGAAGGGGTTGTTAAGCGAGAGTCCCACGTGACTGCTCTGCTCAACTACCATAATCCAGGCACTCCTGGTTGTGGTTGTTAAGCAATTTCCTGGGTTGTTAAGTGGACAGAGCAAAAGAGCTGCCCGCTGAAGGATTTCAGCTCTGCGCGGAGCTGTAACCCTCCTGGCAGACATCCCTTTTGCTCTCAAACGTTCCTGCAGCCTGCCGAAGGGTTTGCCTTCCCCTCTGTGGATGGGGCTGGAGGAATGGAGCTTAAATCTTCAGGATTTGAGCTCTGTTCCTGCACACCACTGAGAGGTTTTCCCTCGTCCCCTCCACTTGCAACCTTCCCTGCCAGTTTCCCCATTGACTGTCTGGGGAAGCTGGCAGAGAAGATTGCAAATGGCAATCACATGATCACGGGGTGCTTGGCAACTGGTCGTAAATGTGAGCTGGTTGCCAAGTAGTAAAATGCAGCCACATGATTGCAGGGAGGGGGGCGGCATGACATTTTACGATGGCCGAAAGTGGTTTATAGGCCATAAAGCACCCTTTCTGAGGCTGCCATAACTTTGAACCATTGTTAAATGAACGGTCATTGAGTGAGGACTATCTGTAGTGTGTTAGTTTCTCCATAATAGGATTTTCTGAATTAGCACAAATTAGATTGCTGATGGAGAGATTCGGAACATAGGCTTGTTATTAGATGAACAGTAATCTGAAATTATGGCATCATCATCATCATCTTCATCTTTTGCTTTCTCACTTTCTCTCTCATAGCATGGGAAGTGGAACATGTGTGCAAAATATATATCATACTCTTCATATAATTCCTTTTATTGATTATTTTCTTTTTTATATATAATTTGTATTAAATAAATTTTAACAAGATAAAAAGATTACAAATATTAAAAAATAAAGAAAGTAAAGGAGAATAGTGAATAAGTAAGAAAGAAAATAGAAAAAGAAAAGAAAAAAAGAAAAAAAGAAGAAAGAAAGAAAGAAAGAAAGAAAGAAAGAAAGAAAGAAAGAA